AAAGTTAATATGCCCCCTTTCAAAGGTGGAGGATATATATATATATATATATATATATATATATATATATATATATATATATATATATATATATATATATATATATATATATAATAAATATATATAATATATATATATATAATATATATATAATAATAAATAAATATATATATATAATATATATATATATATATATATATATATATATATATATATATATATATATATATATATATATATATATATATATATATATATATATATATATATATATATTATATATATATATATATATATATATATATATATATATTATATATATATATATATATATATATATATATATATATATATATATATATATATATATATATATATATATATATATATATATATATATATATATATATATATATATACATATATATTATATATAAATAAGCTTTATGAGCAGATTAAAGAAAAAATATTTTAAGAAACATGACAGAAGAGGCTTGGCTCTGGTTCGGACTAATAAGTGTTAACAGTGATCTTTTCTTGTCAAATATAATTTATCACATTCAGAAAACAAATAACAGCATAGAAGACAGTTGATGAATATGAAATCGATAAAAAAAACTACTTCGATATATATTTAGAACCATTGACGATCATCACTGTTGGCGTCGACGACCCGTCAATCTGGTCTAACTATGAATGGGATTTTGATTGAACGAAGAACGGTTGTCCGGCGTCAAGTTTGGTGTTTTTCAGATTCATTCATTTGTTCGTCTATTTGGCAGTTTGTCTGCCGGTCTGGCTGCCCGCCCGTCTGTCTATTGATACTTTGTTTTTTTTTCTGCGATATCAATGTCAAGTGCGAGCTAAGATAATCTTTTCATTTGTTTATTGTTTTCGAAAATAGATATCTTTTTATTGAAAGTATAGCTTATAAATTTAATCGATTATTGTCTTAACACTTCAATTCAAACAAAACGTCATTTTGCAATCAACTTTTAGTTCCTTGTTAAATGTCAAAATATTTCGCCCTATTGTTCTTTAGAATGCCAAGAACGACTGCAAGGTGTTTTCAATCAAAATATATTTTTTTTATTGGAAAATTATGCTTATATTATGTTGTGCCTAACCGCTCTGTGGAGAGGTTACTTTAGGTTAGTTTTGCAAAAAAGTAGTTTATCTAAATAGTGGTCTAAATCATATCAAACGTATAACATGGCATTTGTCATCTCATAGGCTTTCGGTGCTTTAAATAAAGTTTCACTATTTTGGAACGACGACTTAACTAAGCTTTATTCAAACAGCAAGCATAGGCCCAATGTTGAGTATACCCAATTTATGGGAAATCATAAATTCCATATTCATCTCAGGTTTCTGGTTGAAAGAAATATTTAGATATAGCAAGTGGACGGATATACTCCAGATTCACAGCAGATCTTGTATTAAAAAAATTAATGGGACATATGAAATATGAAGAGAACCGGATACTTATTTTGGATCATATGATCGTTTTGGTTGTTCAAAACTTTGACCCTTTGTGGGCGAGGTACCAAAAGGAATATTCCAATCTCTACCATTCTTATAAAAGATCTGTTGTTGATAGAAATATTGAAATGTGCCAAGTCTGAAATGAATGTGATGTAAATTTTGCGTTTTGTGAGCTTCATGGTTTTTCAAAATGTAGACCCTTTATGGCGGAGGTATTTGATGGAGAGGACCGATATTGTCAATTTTCGCACCTATCCTAGCATTGATGCAAATATTAGGATTTGCAAAGTTGGAGCATCATCGGAATCTTCTTTCTCTTTTCGTGCAGTGAAATATTTATTATTTTTTTTTTTTTTTTGAAAAAATAGACCTTTTTTGGGGGACGTACCAAAAGCAGTGGATCGATATCTAAGTTTGATAATAATATTACGATGTACCAAGTTTGGACCAATTCGGATACTTTCTTCGAGAGTTATCGTGCGCTCCAGGCAGACAAACATACTGACGGACTAACGAACATCGCTAAATGGACTCCAAATGTTCTAAAACGAATTTGGTTTAAAGAGACCTAAGGTCTAAAACCTTAATGTCCTTGAGGTACGTTTGGCCGTATCAAATGGTATATCCGTCTCTAGCCATATGATGAAGAATATTTTTGTCTTTGAGGTCCCACTTCCAAAATTATGTTGCATATATTGTAATCACGACTTGAGATAGAAGGCTAAAATTTTGCACACATGTATATTTTGCCAGTAGACAAATGGGTCGTGTCGTAAATGGGTCATGTCGGCCTACGTTTTCGTAGGGCCTGTTTATAACAGTACCTCCTAATATTCGGAATTTTGATGATATTATCGACATTATTAACAGGAATTGCTTCACATTTCGCATTTGAAGTTTGAAATTGGTACTAAAACGTATGCATATCCACGCCTTCGTGTAGCCCCCATATGACGGGTTTCATTTAATCGGAATTTTTCTGAAATTTTCAAAGTTCCTCCCGAAAAAGTTCGGCCCGGGCGGCTTTTTTACCTGTTTTTACTCAAATGGACAGAATTTGGCATTTGCTGTTCTTAATGGAGACACAGTTTAGTATAGCTCCCAAAGAACACAATTTTAGTTCTTTGAAGGATTTTTACAACATTTTGCGAATTTATGTGTGCGCCAAAAATGCCAAAATTTGACAAATTGCTGACATAACCCCCATTTACCGTATGCCCGATTCGAGGCAATTTCATGATGTTGACAGTTTTTTTTATGCTATTTTTTGTTTTGAGTTCCGATTACAATATATACCTTCATAAAAAATTACACCACTCTTTGGCAGAACCCCATGTAATTTGAAGTGTCGAAGAGATTTATGGGATTTGAAACAAGACTAGGAAATTCAAAGGCAGGTATATTTAGCTAAAACCAATGTTTTCGTGATCTATACAAAAGGAAAAATGCTTGAGAGTATCCAGGAATGGACAAGACAGAGCTCAATCTACAGGGTGAGATAAAACTACCGCAACATATAGCCATAACAAATACATTTTATTGAATGAAAACAAAAAAATTTGGAAATAGCATCAACTTTTAGAATATATTTAGATTTGTTCGAATTGGTCACCTTTGGCAGGAATTATGACCTTTGGCTGGCCGAATGTTGTTCTGCAGTATTTTGGTCCATTCCCGGCGAAGCGCTTGCTTGAGATGATCGACACTTTGGTACTTTTTAGTGCCAACGTTGCTTTCCAAAATACTCCAGACACAATAGTCCAACGGATTAGTATCCGGAGCTTTTGGTGACCATTGTTCGCTGGAAATGAAGCGAGGAACCTCAATTTTCAACCATTCTTGGGTGGCGTGTGCTGAGTCCTGTTGGAATGTCCAAGGTCTGCGGCCAAAATGTTTGCGTAACCTTGCGTGGGATCTAATGCTCCCTCTAGAATATTTTGGGCATTTATTCGATTAATACGAACGGAGAGCGACCATCGGCTGTTATGGCGGCCCACACCATCACCATGGCCGGCGCTTGGTGGCCAACCATTTTCAGTTGACCTCTTCAGCGAGTAAACACGATCATTTTGTTTGTTTACAAACTGCTGGACAACGAATGTTTTCTCAACGGAGACGAAGAAACCCGAATTCGGCAATTCACCACTTTCGGCAAAGCGAAGCATATCTTTAGCTCTTTTGAGTCTATTTTCGTTCTGCTGCGGTGTAAGTTCTTGCACTTTTCGGAATTTCAATGGCTTTACCCCCAGCTCATTTTTCAATATATGCCGAATGGAATATTGCGATATGTTCAGCTCACGAGCCATTCTTCGGCCACTCCGACGCGGGTTTCAATCAAGTCGCTTCTTTACTTTTCAAACCATTTCTGCTGATGTTGCTGTTTTCTTCCGCCCACTTCCTGGACGACGGGCTACGCTACCAGTATCACGGTAACGAGCGATGGTACGAGACACAAAAAAATTATTCACATTTAAATGCTGGAGTGCTCTAACGATAGGCACTTGTGGTTTTCCAGCCAAATATAAAGAAAGCACACTATCGCGCTTGAATTCCATCACCAATTCCTCTTTTTTTTTGGAAAATTCTCACCAAAATGCTTTTGTACGCTTGTAAACAACATAATGAGCTGTCACTGGAACAATTTTATGTCTATAGTAGTCTATAGTTGGTTGCAGTTTTTTCATCTCACTCTGTATTTTAATAGAATTCTGCAAATCTTGTCAATGACAAGGATAACCCGAAGAGTTTATTTTTACTGTCTTTGAGAGAAAAATATTGACAGTACCAACATTCAATAAAAACAAGTAAAAAAGCTGTAAGTTCGGCCGGGCCGAGCTTTTAATACCCTCCAACATTCGGTACAAATTTGGCAATTTCCAAAAAAAAAAGATAAATAAATAAATAAAATCCGTTTAAAATTCTGTTAAAATCTTAAAAATACCGAATACCTATACGACGACGTAGACCTGCGTAGACAACTTTTGTCATAAGTTATTACAATATTTAAATGCGAAACTTGAAGAAAAATCTGTTTATAATGTAGCTAAAATCATCAAAATACCGAATATAGGGGGTACCGTTATATGGGGGCTATACGAAGGCGTGGACATGCGCAGACAATTTTCTGGCATGGGCTAAAGTATTCATTACGAACTTCACATGCGAAATTTGAAACAATTCCGGTGAATAATGTCGCTAAAATCATCAAAATACTGAATATCGGGAGGTACCATTATATGGGAGCTATACGATAATTTGGACCTACATGGCCAAATATACATGTGTGCAAAATTTTAGCCTTCTATCTCAATTTGTTCGAAAGATAGCGTGATTACAACAGACAGACGGACATGGCTAAATCGTCTTAGAATTTTACGCTGTTCAAGAATATATACTTTGTTGGGTCTGACATGAGTATTTCGAGGAGTTACAAACGGAATGACAAAATTAGTATGGTGGAGGGTGTAAAAATAATAGATAAATATTGAACTTTGCAAAATTTGATATGGACTGACCTTACTGCAAATATAATAAGGTTTCTCCAAGAAATTCAACATTCTCTGGTTTGGGTTGCCAAATGCTATTATAAGAATCTATATTATTGCTAAAATATGAAAATCCGATAATAATAATAATACTTGGAATATTTAAAATATAGATCGGAGATGTTCGCCATGTGTATACCACTGAGGATTATATTTTAAACAGGTAACATTTTTAATTACTGCCATGAAACAAGCTAACGTTTTAAAAATACAATTTGTGCCCTAGTATAATTTGTCATCCTGCAGTGTGTCGTGTGGCAGTGAAAGAAAGACAAATGCAAATTGAAATCCCTCTCTCTCCATAATTGCCTAATTATAGTTTCGTGTTTCTAAACATTTAATTTTTTATATATTTTTTTTTTATAAATTTCTGTTGTCAGCTGCCAAAACTGGTATAGTTTCTCGTGTTGTTATTTTTTATTCCGATTTTGCATAATCCCGATATTAAAGCAGGCAAGCCAGCGACGCTTTGTCTCATCGAACCTTTTATTCGATTACGTTTTTGTTTTTTTTTTTGTCTTTCGATTAATAAATGCAAATCATATTCCTATTTTAGTCGAACAATCTATTGGCCGAAATGTGTTTTAAATCATGTGAATGTGGCTTCTTCTTCTTCTGAGCCGGCTATTTCTTTGTATTTTCTCTTTTGATTCTTGTGTTGTATTTCTTTCACCGCTCCGCCGCGATAACACTAACACCTAAGCAATTGCTTGGCCAAATTTGGCCTTTTAATAATACGAAAAAAAACTAAGAAGAAAACTTGTTTTATATAATAGCTTTTATGTTTATGCGCTATCAAAAGATTAATTGAGCTTTGCTAATTTAAATGACTTTTTCTCATAAATCTTTGGCAAACGTACGACGAACAAAACGAAAAAGAAGCAGAAAAAAACGCTGAAATTGGAACAAGTTCTATAGAAGAAAAAGTAACTTCTATTATCATTTTAAAGTGGTTTATGTTGAGTTATGATCCACCACCAAGAGATCTGGGTGCTTCGTTATCCCAGCGAATTGTGGAACATTACCTAAAGGCATCGATTTGCTTTCTTTTGTGTCTGCTGCTGGCTGGGCTTTGTGTGGAAGGGTAAAGAAAATATATAACCCTCAGATTTGTAGCATTTTATGCTTAGTTTTTTTATAGTTTTTTGTTAATGATATTGCAATTATAACCTAGCTGCGAGCTTTTTTGTGGTATTTATAATAATGATTTCATTAATAAACATTTACATTTCTTTATAAAGCGCAATCTATTTTTTAAATTATTATTCTTAATTGATACATATTTGCTTTTAAGAAAGAAGGGCTACAAGAAATTCTTTGCGCATACTGGTATATCGACTTTTAAATTTCTTACGTATTTAAAAAAGAATCTCCTCATAGAAAATTCAAATTACTTAGATTCAGTATTAATTTACCTGTGTATTACGGCTCGAAACCTCAGACAATTTCTTTATATAGAAATTGTAGGAAACAATTAAGAATATCAGACAATTTTGCCGACCCCACTTTATATTTTTCGAATATGACTTCAAAATTCAGTAGCGTTGAGATGAAGATATCTATCTTCATATTCGAAAAACATATATTTGGGTCGGCAAAATTGTCTGATAGTTGTTTCATATAACAAGTAAGTACAAGTAAGCAAAGGCTATAGTCGTGCGGCTCCGACTATGTTATACCCTACAACACTACAATATGTTAGAAGCCCTCTTGTGTCCAAATCCATATTGGATGATTTCGCTTTTGTAATTAGGATTTTGACTAGGGACATTTGCCCAATATTTCTGCACTCCGTCGGGCTGTTAGTTGTTGTAGTCCATTTTACAGCTAAATATAATCCAATGGTCATCCAAAATGCTAGAATTCTCCCCTGTCCTTAACTCTCTTCACAGGGGTGTCGATTGGCTTCAATTGTGTGATCGGAAAAACATTTCTGTTTTTTGTTAATTTGAACCCCTAAATATTTTGCAATCATCTCCATAAGAAGTCCCTCTGTATCTCCAAATTTAAACTCATTTATATGATTTGCTTGTCTACGATATTTGGCTATATTCGTCAACGAAATCAGCATAAAAAAGCCAGAAGTTCGAATTTTGTGTATATCGGATATCGCCTGTAAGTAATGCTGGTATTTTTTCAAACAAAATTAGTGGTCCATTGTACCCGCTGTGGTCCATTGTACCTGCGAGATTTCGTTTCTTTGGTTTCTATTTGTGACCTTTATAACGGCTGCAAAATCAGGAAAATTTTTAGTTGTTGGTCCTTTTCAACCCCTAATATATTGGGGACATCTTTGAAAACAATAGACCTAGCCCTTCTGAGGCCAACCCAACCCTTGTGAAAATGTTCGTAAGGATAGGACAATATTTGCAATACTTGAATAATATCCCCAACCTGTGTTCCAATTGAAAAAATCAAATGCGATAAAAAATATGAAAATATAAAAAAATGTCACAAAATACTACAAAATCTAAATTGACATCATATTTTTCTGCGATTTTTTTAGATTTTATACTTTTATGTCAAGAGGGCATTCTGAATTGACAAAATTTGTCAAAATCGGTCCAGCCATTCTTGAGATATAAGCATTCTAACTAACATCCCCTTCCTTTGTATATACACATTGTATATATTTCGCTATATATAACCGATATATTTACCTTGGCATCTACGTAACGGTCAGAATTGACCTGTTCGTCTATTTGTGATTTCGCCGGGATTAAAAATATTCTCGGTTTAATGGGAAATTTGACTTTTATTTAACACAAATTTTGTGGCCTATTTCACCCACTAAATATTACCCGATGACCATCAAAATTGGAAGGCTTCTGCCCAGCCCTAAGCTCCGAACCCAATATTAATTTACAAAAAAAAAAAAAAAAATCTTAAGCAGGTCCAGGTCTTCGTATAGTCTCCATATAACAGCCTTCATTTAAGTGGTAGTTTCCGATTTTTTTTTTTAATTTTCAAGTTCCTTCCAAATGGTGGTGTTAAACGTTCGGCCCGCCTGAACTTTTTTTAATTTTCACATTAAAATTCCGTGCTATCATGGCACTGTAAGTATGTTGTTTTGGGCAATATTATATATAACAATGCGAGGGCTATTTTGGTCGAGAATTTTACACTCAAGCGAGTCACTAAAGGGGTGTTCTAGGTTCTTTTTTTTCAAAATATGGATAAAAACTCCCTTTAAATGGCATAATGCGATAATATTCTCCAAAATTACTTGCCATACAATTTTACTATATATTCCGGAATACATCAAAAGTTTAAATGTGACCCAGGTACTTATAAATATTAAAACAGTTTTATTTAAAATTGTCCTACCAAGCACCACTTTAGAAAGATGACGTCTAAGACACAATTATTGTTCATAAAATTTCATTATATGTTAAAAAAAAATGAAAATACTTACTACCCGTTGTGGCAGAAGTACCAGAATTAGTGATCCGATATATCCTATCTCCACATCCGATATATCCAACGTAAGATCGTTGATAGAAATATTAAGATGTGTCGAGTTTAACATAATAGGTTCGCGTTTTCTGAGCTTCATGGTAGGTACTAGAAGAAGTGGTCCGTTCTATCGGTTCTTTATACCAGATATTGTGTTGCTGGAAATATCGAGATGTGGGAAATTTGAAGACCATCGGACTCATATTTCACATTTCATAACATTTTATTGAGGGGGAGGTATCAGATGGAGTGTGTCAATACATCGCAACTTCACACCAGATCTCGTGTTAGAAAAAATATTTAAATTTGTGAAATTTGATTTCATATTCATATCAGTCCTAAAGTTGTTAGAAATATTGGGATATGCGAAATTTTAAGACAATTGAAGGGAGGGAGGAGTCGGTCTGTAACCTACCACTGATACAAATATTAGGATTTGCACAATCAGAGCAAAATTTTATGATCTTTCTCTGTCTGTGCAGTCAAATATTTTCTTTTGACCTGGTGGAGGTACCAGAAGGGGTGGACCGTTGTTGCCCATCTCCAAACTCGATCTAAGTTTGACCATAACATTACGATGTACTAAGTTTGGACCAAATCGGATACACCCTTTGGGCGTTATCGTGCGCAAGATCTACTCCAAATGTCCTGAAACGGGCCTAATGGCGTTATTTCGATGAAACATGTTTTGGCGGTATCAAACGTGTTTATTTTTTGTGCTACTAATTGAAAAACCCCAAAATGTTTGAGGATCTCAGGGCAAACTTGGCCATATACAAATGAACCTCAATATTTTGAGATATGTTTCGCAACATTTAATATGGATACCGGATTTATATCACATTAGGGAAAACGAAATTTTTAATTAAAAGGGTTTTGTCAAGCTATACCATTACTAAACTAAATTTATGCCAAACATTTCCATGGCACCTTCTGTTTACTCTGGCTCTTCTGTATGTTCACAAGGACTGGATGCTATATTGGCCCCACTCTTTAATCTATCCTATTCTTACAAGAAATTTCATAAAAGATATTAATTTAATGAGATTCAGTTCCCAGCTAGCAATCCAGTTAGTTTGAAGACAGTAAATTCTTACATGCATCTACTTTTCTTTATAGCAAATACTCTGCCTCAGCAGCAAATACCATGCCGACGGTGTATTCATAAAAATATCCGACAGCGCCCTTTCTGTCGACTGCTCGAATAAAACTAAATATTCTACCAAAACCATTTTGACAGTTGGCCTTATTCGAGTGACATAGAAAAATAGAGTGCACTTGATCTATTTTTTCGCAGTATAAATCCCGCTCGAATTCGAGTAAAGAGTAAACCTCGAATGAGAGAGTACTTCTGCAAAAATAGTACACGCTCTATTTCGGAGCCATCGTGAGTGGATTGTGTTGTTTCTTGTTGTACACCATGGAAAAAAATTTAGGTTTTACAGGGCTTTCCAGTAATATTATTCCTTCCATTAGATCCAATTAAGGGAAAATTACAGAAAAATGTATTAATGTATGTATGGGTCATATCACCATAATGAGTATCGAAAATTTGACCGACTTTTTTGCAAAAGCATTATTTGAAAACTTCAAAATATCTTTGTCTATAAATATCAATCAAATTTTCAACTACCATTCCTTGGCAAAACTTTCCTGAATAAAACCAGTCCTACTATTAGCAGCTATAATAACTCTTTGAACATTTTTAAAAACCACGACTGGTAGCTTTCATCGGTATATTTTGGAAAAAAATTATTTAGAAAATATTATTAAAAATTGACAAAAATCAACAACGAATCCCATAAGAAAGAATTTTAAATTTTCGTATAAATTATAAAATTTTGTATTTTCTGATAGTCTATAAACAAGGTGTATAATCAACGAATGTTAGCTGTGATAGTCCTTTGAAAATGTCAAAAACCACATTTTGTATCATTGATGGCCCATAGAAAAAAAAAAAATCTGAAATATTTTTCAATGATCTTTTTTCAATGATCTTATGTTCAGATGGTAGATCTAATAGCCTTTTAAAAATCATTTTACTAAACCACTATTGGTGACTCTTATCGTCCTTCAGAATATATATGACCGGTATATTTCCCCTTCGTTATGATTTAGGTATTTTGAAATTTCCTGAGTGGCTGTATTGGTATTTTGCTCCTGGTTTTAAACCTTTTTTCCCCATCCAAACTTTGTTCATTAAAGGAAAACATGACTAGATTTAAATTATTTTCTCATAGTGTTTTTTTTTTCTTCTGTATTATTTGTTATTATCTATGTTCCTATAATTCACAACAAACATTGTTATGACTAATTTTACTATAGATTACATTTGATTTGCAAAAAAATTGCATTTCTTCTCAAACGAGCCTCTAGACACGACGACGACGGAAAACACGACGACGTTGAGTTCTGTAACGGTAACCTTCAGCATCCGAGTAGGAATGAGCGGGAGCAGAAGCTTCAACTTCATAGGATTCATAAGCAGCGGGAGCTTCATAAGTAGAAACAGAGTTGGAGGCTAGAGGGGGCAAGTATTCAGCGGAGACATCACGACGATGGCGACGAGCAGTCTTGAAGACACGGCGACGGTGGGTCTTGTAACGATAGCCATCAGCTTCCGAGAAGGAGTGAGCTGGGGCAGCAGCAGCTACTTCATAGGATTCGTAAGAGGCAGCAGGAGCGGCAGCGGCTTCATAAGATTCATAGGAGGCAGCTGGAGCGGCATAAGAGACAGCTGGGGCAGAGGCTGCAGGGGGCAAGTATTCGGTGGAGACATCACGACGATGGCGACGGGCAGTCTTAAAGACACGACGACGGTGGGTCTTGTAACGATAGCCATCAGTTTCAGAGAAGGAGTGGGCTGGAGCGGCAGCAGCTACTTCGTAGGATTCGTAAGAGGCAGCAGGAGCGGCAGCGGTTTCATAAGATTCATAGGAAGCAGCTGGAGCGGCAGGAGCAGCATAAGAGACGGCTGGGGAAGAGGCTGCAGGGGGCAAGTATTCGGTCGAGACATCACGACGATGACGACGGGCAGTCTTGAAGACACGACGACGGTGGGTCTTGTAACGATAACCATCAGCTTCAGAGAAGGAGTGGGCTGGAGCGGCAGCAGCTACTTCGTAGGATTCGTAGGAGGCAGCAGGAGCGGCAGCGGTTTCATAGGATTCGTAGGAAGCAGCTGGAGCAGCATAAGAGACGGCTGGGGCAGAGGCTGCAGGGGGCAAGTATTCAGTCGAGACATCACGACGATGACGACGGGCAGTCTTGAAGACACGACGACGGTGGGTCTTGTAACGATAACCATCAGCTTCAGAGAAGGTGTGGGCTGGAGCGGCAGCAGCTACTTCATAAGATTCATAAGAGGCAGCAGGGGCAGCAGCGGTTTCATAAGATTCATAGGAAGCAGCTGGGGCAGCAGAATAAGAGACGGCTGGGGCGGATGCAGCTCCAACATTAGGAGGCAAGTACTCATTGCTGAGTTGAGCAGCGGCAGCTGCCACCAGGGCGAAAACAATGAACAATTTCTGTAAATTACAACAAAAATAAAATATCTCGACTTTTAGTTCCCATCTTCAGCTGGAAGTCAGCCTTCGGCTGGAAGTCTTCAATACAAACCATTTTTGCGGTAGTCAACTCCTTTAGAATCCAACCGTTTATGATACTCAGCTGTGAACAAATACAGCTTTTTATACGAAAAGATAATTATTTCCGAACGCTGGTATAGCAAGTTATTGCAGAATATATATCTTTTGAAACATCTGGCTGTCAGCCAGACGGTTCCGATTCTATTCTATTTTTTCTAGTCAATTGTTTGATTATGTTGCCTAACCGGTGCATTTGCTGTGAATGTGATTAGCAGAAGAAGAAGAAGTCTGTTCTAATCTGAGCTAGCCTTTCACTTGATGTGGTCCCTCGCTGTGTGCATTTAATTCGCAACAATTCGAATCGAGATCACTTTATCCGAGGAAACAATAAAATATTAATTGTTGTCGTTGTCGTCCATTTGGAGTTGAAGACACTGGCTAGCCCGTCAAACGACGACAACCAGATTAAGTGATGACACTAAGTCGAGCAGGCACGAGCTTACCCAACGAGTTGACTTTCATTTGCAGGTTTGTTTGTTTTTGTTTTTCTCACATTTCAGTATTGGCGGTGTCTTCGCTTTGCTCTTCGAGTGACTTAATTTCAATTAGGCAAAAAATGATTAATGGACGACAGTTAAAGATTCGTTTAAATCTTTGAAGGTAGACTAAGCGGCGCTTTCACAATCGTGGTGAATCAGTAGCTGGGTGAGCTACTGTTATGAATGTGTCTGGGCCAATGGCTGGGATTTGGAAAAGGTACTTTAAAAGAAAGCTGGAAATGGTTTATTTTGCTACGATACTGATCTCGGGAAGTGTATGTAATTAGCAGAAAATGGATTACAAATCATTGCAGATTAGTTGAAGGGGGCTATGTGTGGATGTTTTTTTTTTTCTCAAAACAACTTTGAAGAAATTTTGTTTTGTTATCCGATGTAGAGTTTCTTTTTGATTGTCAGCCCCTGATGGTGGTGGGACCGATCTGTGTTAATGTCAATAATTTACATAGAATCTGTCCTCTATAAACAAATAATGATTCAGGAAAATGTTTGAATATTTCGTATGGAAATGTTCACATTTTATAATCTGGACCACCCAAACGAGCCCTAATAAATCAAAAAAATGGGTTATTAAGTAAATTTTGGCGCCAGTAACTATTTTAGCATGTCCGCTAAGAGACAACTTATATTAATATAAGATAAATGTGATTGACTGCCGGACTGACTCAATGATTCGTCAACGCTTACGCGAAACGGCTGCAGCTAGATTCTTGAAATTTTGGTGAGGGTTACTCTTGGTCCGAAGGTATTAGGCTTGGTTTTTGGAAATTCGTACTAGAATAATACGAAAATAAGTAAAAGGTACTGAATATATGAAATTTCGTATTTGAAGATTCGAAAGTACGAAAAATGTACTACATTTGGTACAATTTCGTATAATGTGAACAGTTAGAATGGTGGGAAAAGAGCCAAAAGATACTCAATAAGCTACCCATCGTATTTGACGAATAAGAATAAGTGCTAGAGTTCTTAAATTTGGGGTGATGGAGTGTATGGATGGATGCAACAAAGGGTATTTTAAAATTCGCACTCTAGCTGTACGAAAAGTACTAAAATGTACAACATTTGGAAATTTGGAATGGGACTCAAGGTAGAGGAGAAAGGTCGAATAAGGAGGTACTTTTGAAAGTGTGTGTACGAAAAGTACTAGACTGTAATAAATTTGATACAATTTACATCTGTGATTTACATAATGGATGGAGCTAGAATCGAGAAATTTGAAATTACTTTACAGGGTGAGATGAAAAAACTACCATTTCAGACTGCAGTCATTTCTTAGCTACTCGTCTGACAGCTATTAAAATTATTCCAGTGACAGCTCATTATGTTGTTTACAAGCGTACAAAAGAATTTTGGTGAGAATTTTCCAGAAAAAAGTTATTCGTGATGGAATTCAAGCGTGATAGTGTGATTTCTTTATATTTGGCTGGAAATATAAAGTGTCTATCGTTAGAACACTCCAGCATTTAAATGTGAATAAATCTTTTGTATCTCGTACCATCGCTCGTTACCGTAGCACGACGTCAAGGATGTAGTCCGACGGAAGAAAACAGCAACATCAGCAGATATGGTTCAAAAAGTAAAGAAGCGACTTGATCGAAGCCAGCGTCGCAGTGGCCGAAAAATGGCTTAAATAATGAGCTCGGGGTAAAGCCATTGAAATTCCAAAAAATGCAAGAACTTACACCGCAACAGAAAGAAAATAGACTCAAGAGAGCTAAAGAGTCGTTTCGCTTGGCCCAAAATTTGTGTACTGCCAAATTTGGTTTTCTCCGATCAGAAAACATTCGTTGTCCAGCAGTTTGTAAACAAACAAAATGATCGTGTTTACGTGCCAAAGAGGTCAGCTGAAAATGTGAACCTTCGGTTGGTCACCAGAAGTCAAGCGCCAGCCATAGTGAGGTGTAGGCCGCCATAACAGCCGATCGTAGCTCTCCGCTCATATTTATCGACCGTGGCATTCGAATAAATGCCAAATATTATCGTGAAAATGGAGGGCGTATTAAAACCTTGGGCACGCAAACATTTTGGCGGCAGACTTTGGACATTCCAACAGGAGTCAGCACCAACGCAATCAACACGCGCCACCCAAGAATGGTTACAAAATGAGATTTCTCGCTTCATTTTTCGCTCACAATGGCCACCAAAATCTTCGAATATCAATCCGTTGGAATATTGTGTCTGAAATATTTTGGAAAGCAAGGTTGGCACTTAAAAATACCAAAGTGTAGAACACTTCAAACAAGCGCTTTGCCGGGAATGGGCCCACATATCGCAGAGAAATATTCGGACAGCGTGTGACGGTTTCATTGGCCGTTTGAAGGTCATAATGCGTGTCAAAGGTGACCAGTTCGAACAAATCTATACTTATTCTAAAATTTGATGCTATTTCCGACATTTTTTGCTCTCATTCAATAAAATTTAAAAAAAAGTAACAATTACGGCGTTTGACTTTTGAGCTTTTTTTTATCTGACCGTGTACTCTCTTTTACGAGTTTTGATGATTGTGAGCATGCAGAAGCACCCCTAGGTGCTGAAAATATCTACCATAATCTATTTTTCGATGTATGATGGTTGTGAACATTCTGTGCTCGTTTTTACACACTTCTCATATAAAACTAATCGACTACCGTATCAAGTCTTAGATCAGGAACGTAACATGTCAAAAAATTGGATCTCTTTTTCCCGTACCAGCTTATGATACCACCCATGTACTTTCTGACCAAAGAAATCCAAATACTTTAGCGTATTTTACTTTATTGTCAACGAGCCAAATATCTCTGAACAGATAATTACGAAGATATTTTTACGATCTGACAAGCCGAAGTTTAGATTTGAGTGATAACTGTATAGGAAAGAAATTTGGATTTGAAAAGTGAGTAAACTCCTTGTAGCTTTAAATAAAAGTCGTAAACAGACGCCGATTGGTCTGGGTATTCATGAGATGATCAGCCAATTGGTCAGGACGCTGATGAGAGAGTCGTTCCAGGTTATATAGATTGGTAGATCTACCAATATTAAAATTCATTTTTTTCAGAAATTTCGACCCAAAAATTATTCATTTAAAACAATTATAAATGTATAATATCTTCTTCATTTTTATTATGGGATTAGAAATAACTTGAATTGCATTCAATTCCGAAATATGAATACCTAGTATCTAAATTCGAAATATATTGTACTATTTTGAGAACACTTTAGACACGATGGCGACGGGCAGTCTTGAAGACGCGACGACGGTGGGTCTTGTAACGGTAGCCATCGGCTTCAGAGAAGGAGTGAGCGGGAGCTGAGGCAGCAACATCATACGATTCATAGGAGGCAGCTGGGGCGGTTTCATACGATTCATAGGAAGCTACTGGGGCTGAGGCAGCTGGGGGTAAATATTCGGTGGAGACATCACGACGATGACGACGAGCTGTCTTGAAGACACGGCGACGATGGGTCTTGTAGCGATAACCATCGGCTTCTGAGAAGGAATGAGCAGGAGCCGAAGCACCTACATCGTATGTTTCATAGGAGGCAGCTGGGGCAGCATAAGACACAGCGGGAGCCGAGGCAGCTGGTGGCAAGTATTCAGTAGAGACAGCAGAGGCTGCAGGTGGCAAATATTCAGTAGAGACATCACGACGATGACGACGAGCAGTCTTGAAGACACGGCGACGATGGGTCTTGTAACGATAGCCATCGGCTTCAGAGAAGGAATGAGCTGGAGCCGAGGCAGCAACATCATACGATTCATAGGAGGCAGCTGGGGCAGCTTCATAGGACTCATAGGAAGCAACGGGGGCTGAGGCAGCTGGGGGCAAGTATTCGGTGGAGACATCACGACGATGACGACGAGCGGTTTTGTAGACACGACGACGTTGAGTCTTGTAACGATAACCATCAGCTTCGGAGAAGGAATGAGCAGGAGCCGAGGCACCAACGTCATATGACTCGTAGGAAGCAGCTGGGGCAGCATAGGAGGCGGCTGGAGCCGAGGCAGCTGGAGGTAAGTATTCCGTGGAGACCGACGAAGCTGCAGGAGGCAAGTATTCAGTGGAGACATCACGACGATGACGACGAGCAGTCTTATAGACACGACGGCGATGAGTCTTATAACGATAGCCATCGGCCTCAGAGAAAGTGTGGGCAGGAGCCGAGGCACCAACATCATAGCTCTCAGCGGCGTAGGAGGCTTCTGGGGCGGCTACAGACGAAACACTGTAGCTAGCACCACCAAGATCGAAATGGGGTGGCAAGTATTCATTGCTGACCTGTTGAGCGGCAACAGCGGCCACCAAGGCAAAGAGGATGATGAATTTCTGCAAGAATATAATAAAGCAAAAATACATTGTGATTATCTTTGGTCCCCGCAGCCGGCTGGTGTGTAAGTAATCCAAATACCAACCATTTCGGGATGCTGCTGTCTATCTCCCTATTGCTTGTAGACTCCAGAAGATAATGATGCCTTCCTTATGCAATTTCAATCTTTATATACAAAATTATTCAACTTCCCCATAAATGCAATCAATTGTTGTCATAGATCAGCGGAACCAAACAAATATGCCTGCAGAACAATAGTCCCCATCGCATCGCCCATACAAAAAAAAAAAAAAAATGTGAAACACAATACAATTTCATAATCTAGTCCGACTAGATTTCGGGATGAGTCCAAAATCGGTTTCTATTTTTTTTTTCTGTATGCCTTTCACTTACTCTTAATGGTCGCACACCTCGCATGTTATACAATTATTTGTCAAACAATTCTTTTTGGATTAAAAATTCAAAATTTTAATTATATTATGTCCGATTCCGAGGGGAGATTTATTCATTATTGCACCAATACACAAAAGTATATATATATTTTTGTGATAAAAATAAATACCTGTTTTGTTTCTAATTCATTCAAAGATTTTGGCTGATGCTAATATTAGGCTTTCAGTGAATTTATTATCTTATTATTTTTATTTTTTTGGAAATATTCGTTTGTCAAGCGACATTATTTGATATTTTCGTAATTCCATAGCTGTATTTCTAATCGCGTGCCTTTAATCCATCGGTCGAGTGAAATTTTTTGTTGTAAAGTATTTCCTTATCCAATTGCAATTTTGTGTTTTTTTTTAAGTATGATTGATGAGTTCATTAGACTCGTAAAAAATTTTGAATTAGAAATTTGAATCCTTTTACAATTTTAGAAAATAGATAATGGTTTGGGATAATTATCCCAGACGAGAATATTAATTAATGCAATTATAACATATTTCTAATCAGTTCTTAATTAGAAGATGAAGCCAAATTAATTTTAAACAAGGGTGGATGACCCACATCCCAGCCTTCGTTTTGAAAATAACCTTCAAACGCTAACATGAATGTTTGGAACTGCAAACTCAGGCGTAATCTCAGCTTCGATATTGTAGTATCTGCATATTAATGTCCATACAAAGCCCAGATGGTAGAATTTTTAAATATCGGCAAAGTTATCACTTTCAAAAACAACAAGTTAAAAAGCAGTATATTCGGCCGGGCCGAACTTTGAATACCCTCCACCATTTGGAACGAATTTGGAAATTTTCAAAAAATTAAGTCCTTAAAAAATTGTGTTAAAATTTTAAAAACACCGAATATAGCCGTTATATTGGTGTCTATACGACGTGGACCTACATGGGCATTGTTTGTCATTCAAAGTCATTCAAATTCGAAACTTGAAATAAACGGTGAATAATGTAGCTAAAACCATCAAAATATCGTATATAGGGAGGTAGCGTCATATAGGAGCTGTGCGAAGATCTGAACCAGCATAGACAATTTTCTGCCATAGGCTGTAGCATCCATTACGAAGTTCAAATACGCGTATCAAACAATTTCGGTGGGTATTGCACCTAAACTCGCCCAAATACCAAATATAGGGTGATACTGGTATGTGGGGCCTATACGAAGACCCGGACCTGCATGGACAATTTCCTGTCACAGACTGTAGTTCCCATTACGAGCTCTAAATACGTAATTTGAAACAATTCCGGTGAATAATGACGCCAAAAATATCAATATATCGAATATAGGGAGGTACCGTTATATGGGGGCTATACGAAGACGTGGACCTGCACAGACAATTTTCTGTCTAAGGGTGTAGTATCCATTACGAACTTCAAATACCAAATTCTAAACAATTCCGGATAATAATGTCGCTAAAATCATCAAAATACCAAATATAGGGAGGTACCGTTATATGGGGGCTATATGATAACTTAGACCTACATGGCCCATTTACGAACTTAACCTGCCTACTGGCAAAATATACATATGTGCAATTTTTTAGCCTTCTATCTCAATTTGTTCGAAAGATAGAGTGATTACAACAGACATACAGACGGACAGACAGACCGACAGACAGACAGACAGACAGACACACAGACAGACAGACAGACAGACAGACAGACGGACATGGTTAAATCGTCTTAGAATTTTACGCTGATCAAGAATATATATACTTTGTTGGGTCTGACATGAGTATTTCGAGGAGTTACAAACGGAAGGACAAAATTAATATACCCTCCATAGTATGGTGGAGGGCATAAAAACAGTCAAATTACATTGAAATCGGTTCAGATATGGACAAAACACGATACGTATGTCCGATTCCAAAGAAATTCGGCATGAGTGACTATATTTGGTACACATATGAATTTGTCAAATTATATAGAAATCGGTTTAGATATAGCTCCCATATATATTTTCGGCCGATTTCACATATTTGATGCACCAAACACGATACGTATGCCCGATTCCGGATATAGTATCAAATTTAGAACAAGTTTAGATTTGCTCGAATTGGTCAACTTTGGCACGAATTATGGTCTTCAAATGGCCAATGAAACCGTCACACGCTGCCCGAATATTGATCTGCGGTATTTTGGCCCATTCCTGGCGAAGCGCTTGCTTGAGATGATTGACACTTTGGTATTTTTTAGAGGCAACCTTGCTTTCCAAAATACTCCAGACACAATAGTCCAACGGATTGGTATCTGGAGATTTTGGTGGCCATTGTGCGCTGGAAATGAAGCGAGGAACCTCATTTTGTAACCATTCTTGGGTGGCGCGTGCTGAGTCCTGTTGGAATGTGCAAGGTCTGCGGTCAAAATGTTTGCGTGCCCAAGGCTTTAATACACCCCCAGAATATTTTCGGGATAATATTCGGAATTTATTCTAATGCCACGGGCGATTAAAACGAGCGGAAAGCGACCTTCGGCTGTTATGACGGCCCACACCATCATTATGGCCGGCGTTTGAGTTCTGGTGGCCAACCGAAGGTTGACCTTTTGTTTGTTTACAAATTGATGGATAAAGAATGTTTTTTCATCGGAGAAAACCAAATTTGGCAGTTCACCACTTTCGGCCAAGCAAAGCAAGTTCTTGCAATTTTTGGAATTTTAATGGCTTAACCCCTAGCTCATTTTTCAATATTTGCACAAATGGAATATTGCGATATGTTCAGCTCACGAGCCATTTTTCGGTCACTGCGACGGGTTTCTTTCTTCGCTTTTCGAACCATTTCTGTTGATGTTGCTGTTTTTTTCTGTCCACTTCCTTGACATCCTGCTACGTTACCCGTATCACGGTAACGAGCGATGGTCCGAGACACAGAAGATTTATTCACGTTTAAATGCTGGAGTGCTCTAACGATATCCACTTGTGGTTTTCCAGCCAAATATAAAGAAATCACACTATCAAGCTTGAATTCCATCAGGAATAACTTTTTTTCTGGAAAATTTTCACTGTAATGCTTTTGCACAATTGTAATCAATATATTCAGCTGTCACTGAATTTTAACAGCTTTGGGACGAGTGGATTAGAACTGACAGAAGTCTGAATGTGGTGGCAGTTTTTTCATGTACTTTATCAAAATTTATGATTTCGCATAAAATTAGATATAGTTGTTCGATGTCCTTCAAATTTTGAACTTGCCTGTATTTTTATCTGAAGTGAAGTGATGAAGTGTGAAAATGGTCTGCTTTTTTTGTTATTTTTTTTTTGTTTTATTTTTTCAAATATCCAAAAATTTGCATATATCCCATATAAAGTATAGGAAGTAGTCGATATGGTCCAAATCTGGAACGTTGTAATATTTATATCAGTCTTAGGTCACATACGAATTGGTTAATATTGGCCCACTGGTTCGAAACCTCCCCCATAAAGTGTCAAGACTTTGAATATTCATAAGTCAAGGCTGGGGTTACCAGGTGTCGTTAAAACCGACAGATACTATTTTACTTGTTTTTTGAAATTTCGACTTTTTCAGAAGGACGTACCAGAATGAGTTGACCGATATTGCCAATCTCCGAACTCGATCTAAGTTTGATAATTATATTACGATGTACCAAGTTTAGATACTCTCTTCGAGAGTTAAAGTGCGCACCAGCCAGCCATTCCTCCTGATTTCTTCTAAACTTCGCACATTCCCATATTAATACCAATAAAGATCTGATGTGAAGATGATAGATATCGGCTCACCCCTTTTGGAACCTCCCCCACAAAGGGTCACAATATTCAACACTTATCTCTCTTAACATGCGTAACAAGTCAACGATTCTTTTCAAACTTGGTAAGTTTTTTTTTTTAAATTTTTCTCAACTGAAGATCTGATGTGGCAGCTGGCAATTTCCCCATAAAAGTTCAACATTTTGATATTTCACATAAAATTGGAAAAAAATATCGATTTTCTTTCAATTTTGCACATCCCACTATTTTTATTTGTATAGGATGAAGTGGAATGCTTCGGTCCACTATATCTGGTACCTCACGCATATTTCAATTCATTTGCAAAAATGTGTATATAAAGTGAAGGAAGTAGTCAATAGAGTTCAAATATGGTCAACAGTTTGAAAAATCATATTTAAATAAGCAGACATTGGCAGAGCGTATACATCAGTCGGAAAAGCCGACTGATACTTTTTAACTTGTTGTTATTAAAATCGTCATAGGTATAGCTGTCATATATATTTCATACAATTTCATATTTAAATCACCTGTAGCTCTAGTATGCAATTGATATAGATATGGTAATCGAAGTTGTAGCAACATTTGTTTAAAGTCATTGACATAATTCTCTTGTCGGTTTTACTTATTTTGTAAAATATTCAAGAACATTTTCTTATTTCTAATTTTCCCATCTGAATGAGTTGACAAATATCTTCTAAATGTTGGCATCTTCTTACTTAATACTAGTAATGTTACATGGAAAAACTGATAGATGGGCATGTAAAAAGTTCCCACGTGTTACAATGAAGTAAAAAAAAAAACTAAAACTCCACTAATCAGCGGTCGGCAAAACAGCTAAGTTACAAATGAATATTTCAACAAAACCTACTAATTTAAATTTCATATGCAAGATGATACTCGTCAGCTCACCAACCCTCTCATTAGTAGTACAACCAATGAAAGAAAAAAAAACTGACCCCCGAGGGCTATTCGCCAAAGAAAGAAAGAAGTTTAAAAAGAAAACATCATCTTTGTGTGCCGCTAAAACTGGTTATAAAAAAA